CATGGCCCCCTCTGAAAGCCACCATGAACACTTCCCAAAGCGATGGGCAGCTCACTGCTCCCTGGGGACCAGAGACCCAGGCAACTTCTTTCTTTTGCTCAGAGGCTAGAAGGGAATTGTTTGGTACATTTCGTTCTGGTCAAAAATAAAGGCAAGTTTCTGTCATCTGGACCACCTTGCTAGAGTCTTGCTCTCTGTTTCTGTAAGAACGTTTTTCCTGTCACTTCAACATTGAGGTGTTAGTCTCTTCTTATCCCTCAGTTGGTTCCTCTTCTCTACCTCAAAGGCTTCTCTTGGGGAAAGAGGGGGAGATAAGCTTGACTGCAGGGAACGGGAGCACTTTTCCCTCTGCAGGTACCACAACCCACCCAGGTGAGCCTTCCTGTGAAACGAAGGCTCCTCGTGTGTGTTTCTCTCTACTCTCCCTGCCCTCTCTGCTTCTTCCACATTTGGCTTTTGAGGAACATTGGTCCTGAATTTCTCTTGTGTAGGGCCTCTGTGTTTGTGGGTCAGCTGCTGCCCAGTCTGTTGCCTTGACTTATTTGCAGTCATGCCCACAGCAGGCATTTAAGAAAAGCTGTCTGAGTTCTAATTGGAGCCCAACTTGTAAGTGTTGAACACACCACAAAGCCTCTCTCTGGTTTACGTGTCCAAACTCTAAATGGGACATAGAAATCAGCATAATTGGAAATTTGATCCCATTGGTAAAGACCAATATAGAACAGATAAAAGGTGGGTGTGGCACTATTTATCTAAAGCACCGAATAGGGCCACACCTGGAAGTGGCTCCTTGAAGGATGGAGATATGGCATGGGCGCGCATGTGATGGTGGCTCATTCTTCCACAAACCCCTTTGGTCTTCTCAGTTTCCTTCATAGGCTTCTCTTCCTACACTTTCCCCTAAATGTTGGAACTTAAGGTCTCCACACTGGGTGTAGGGTTTTCCCCTACTGTCACTCTTTCCCTGAGTGATCTGAACTATGACCACCAACACTTGCAACTGACAAGGAAAGTTGTCCCCTGATCCAGACCTCTCTTTGGAGGTCTTGACCACCTGATTTCTCCATCTGGATAACCCACAGCTGACCTAAAGTGGAGTTACCATCGCTTTCTTTTCACCCCAAACCTGCTGCTCCCCTGTATTTTCTGTCTCACCAAACTTGAATCAGAGGAATCATCTTGGACTCTTACTCTTCTCTTACTTCCTGTTCTTCTCCAAGTACTGCTGATTTCCACCCTTTCCTTCTCTTCTACCTCTGCCCTCCCAAGCCAACCAAGAGCTTCTTGAATGTGTCACTTGGCCTCCACTCTTACTATCCTCCAGTCCAGTCATTATACCAACAGCCGTTATCTTTCTAACATTGTCTAACATTGTCTATCTTTCTAACATTGTCAGATTTCAAGTTTCTCACTACCCACAAGATGGTCTACCCTTTGTTTCAGCATCACAGCTGACAATCATCTAGCCACTGCCTATCTGTCCCACCTTGTTTGTGATTTTTTTCCTCTATTATTCATCCAAGTGTTTGCTTGACCTGAATGCTCTCTTAGCTCTATGTTTTATGTATATGCTGTTCCTGCTTTCTCAATATGCTTTTCCCAGTGGCTCCAAGTTTGTGGCTACTGTGGAGCAATCCTGTAGTTTGCAAGGCAAATCAAAAATGTTTGTTGTTCTGGGTCCCTCTAGAACTTTGAGTACACTTAGCATTTGTCCTACAGCTGTTATAATTTTGTGTGTGTCAGCATTCTCTAGGGATTAAACGTTCCCGGATGGAAGGAACATATTTTCACAAAGCATGACCCCCCTAGTGAAAATTCAATAAGTGTTGAGAGAGCAAATATCAGGATACCCAGACTTGATCAAAAAGTTTAACACACATATAGCAAAGGCATTTATCTTTCTCACACTGCATAGAAGAGTGACTTCCTGGTCTGGGACCTCCATCAGACATGATAACCCCGAGGAGGTAATAATAACCGTGTGCCAGCCAGAGCTGGGAGCCCAGCAAGCATATATGCCTTCAATCACATATCAACTCTTTTAGGAAACAACCCCCCTTCTTCCCTGCTTGTCTGTCTCCTAACCATAACCAAAGCTTTGCAAAATGAAAAGGAAAGCTCTGAAGTTCTGTTAGGTGGGTCTCAGCTTTGCATCCACCATGTAACATCTAGATCAGGAGCGGGACCTGGGCTTTTAGTTTGTCCCTGGCCATCATCTTAAAGCATTTAGAATCCAAGTCATTGACATTCCTGGTATGGGAGGCATGAAATAGTCAAGTCACTCAGTTCTCTGGCTTGCTTTCTCTTTAATGGAGTTTTGTTTCAATCGCTGGCAAAGGAAGGTGCTTTGCTGCCAACCGGGGTGGGAGGTTAGTAGACTATGCTCTAAGAGCTGGGATTTCCTCTTCTTTGTTCATCAGTTCATTTGCAGAAAGGAGAGCTCCTTAAGTATGCGGCACTGAGATGCTTGCTCTCAAGTAGAGTCAACACGTGCCTGCCCCCCCGGAACATATGGACAGGAGGAGCCTGCATTTCCCAGGAACTTATCCAAAAATAACCCCTCAGGAAGTCCCAACTCACCATGTTCAGTAGTTGTGTAGTAACCTCTTCTAGAAAAACAACTCCCAGTGACCTGCATTTTGGCTAAATGAGGGAGGCAGGCTCTTCAGTCCCTCCAGCCAGGGGAATTCTATTGTCATCTTTTATAGGAAGGCACTAGCACTAGTTGGATTGAGATTTACTAAACCAAGACTTGCACCCCACTCTCTGAACTCTTAAAATATATTGTCCCTTTGGCTTACAAAGTTCCTAGTTTGACGTGATTTAGTAGCTCAGAATTCCACTTGTCTTATATCATCAGTGGACTTTGTGTGATTAAAATTTGGACCATGCAATTGCTCTGTATTCTTTGATGACAAACTGTGCGTTGGATTACCCAGACTTCTCTGAGTCATGATCATTGAATTTTCTGAGCAGCGACTCGGGCTTTTCAAAGTTGTAAATAGTAAACCTGAAACCTGATGACAAAGTGGAAACACGTTGTAGGCCTGAAGGCCAGAGCTATGATTATTTGCTCCTCGCTCGGCAGAAGTATTACCTTTGTTTCAACAGCAGCAAAAACCTGGTGGAGAATTAAGTCTGGTAAAATAGGTCGAGAATGCTGTGGGGGGAGCACACACATCCCCAAGCTGGCATGTCCTGGACTCTTGGTCCAGCCACAATTTTAGTTGAGGAGGCCGTAATTTGGTCCTGTGTGCCCGGGGAGGCCCTGTGTCCTTGTGGTTAATGATGGTTCCAGAGGGACTCTCCACTTGTCACAGAGAATAAAGAGCCTCCAAGCACAGAACAAAGTGATTTCTTGACTGAAAATACTGAGTTTGTTCTTAAAATGCCATTGCATATTCAATTCTTTTTCGATAGAAATTCCCCTTCTTTGGCTTTCACTTTCCTGCATACCAAGAAGTGACCTCACCAAGCCCATTCCCCCTTCTGTGTCTTTGAATTTCAGAAGATGATTCCATACCCACAGTCCCTTACCCAAGTGTGGTTCACCTAGGAGACAGGGCCTGATTTCAGAGTAGACCAGTACTGTTGAATCAATCCCAGTTAACTACCACAAACATTGAAGAATTAAAGGTCCCTGATTATTTTGGACTGTCTATGGCCCTTGTCAGTCCCTCAGAATAAAATATTTAGCAATAGACAGTATCTTGCATCAAGATGGGTAATAGAATACGTCATAGATAGCATGAATAACTCTCACCCAGTTCTTCAGCATTTCAAAGTACCTTGCAGTCACCATTAATTCAACCCTACCACTGAAGGACTGTTTGACCCTCATTGCATAAGAAACTGATATCATGTAGGGGAAAACTGAGAACTAGGAGACCTGGATCTAATCCCATTTCTGTGGATTAGAACTTTGTGAGTAATTACTCTGTGATCTAGACTTAATTTTGCCATCTGTAAAATGAGCCAGGGGTGGAGGAAGATGATTCTAGAGGCATCTCAAAGATCTATTAACTCAACAAATCTGACTAAAAAGAGCAGGGGCAAGTCCTTTGATTTGGTTGCTTTTAGCCAGGTAATAATTCTCTTGTGGATTTTTTCAATACAGTTACTATTCAATTTTCCTTACTCTAGAATCCCAGCCTTGGGACTTATTTCAGATGTTCTTTGGAATCTCTTTTATCCTATGGTCTAGTTGATTTTTGGACCTTTCAAGTTCTGATGGATTTATGGTTGACATTCAAGAAAAGGGTTAGAGATACATCCAGATACTTTTGTAGCTTGGAGAAATGGTCCTTGCATGTGTGTGCATGTGCACACACACAAGTGCATGCGTGCATGCACGCACACACACACGCATACACATGGAATCCAGGATGCCCTCATTCTCACTGGGATATAGGATGTCGGAAGAAAGATCAGGCTAACAATGACGACTCCACCCAGGGGATCCTACAACTGTCACTATCACTGTGGAAATGGCAAAAAACAGTATGTGGAGATCTGCAGTGAACCAAGGAAGTAACTGTCTTGAGGATAAAGGCTCATCATATGTAGTTTTAGCATTCTCAGTTGGTAATTTCAAATCAATACTGAAGTTGTCTGGCGAAAGCAGTGATTTGCCATGTCTTGGATCAAGAACCCCTTTGAGAATCTTATGGAAGTTATGGATGACCCTCTGCCCAGAAAACTACCCATATAGTTCACAAGTTAGGATAGAATCTTAGGGAAGTCTATATGCTCGGAAGCCCATGAACCCCAAGTCATTAACCCCTGGCCTAAAGTAGACTAAAGGAACCTAACAGTGCTAGAGCAAGACTTGTAAGTCCATCATTTGCTGCCAATTTTTAAAAAGTAGTAACAACGTTTTTTTTCTTTTTCCCCCCTCTGACCATCATCCTCTTTTCCTTTCTCTATTCTCACGTCTTTTGTCATCTCTTCTCGTTCTCTCTCAATGTCTCTCTCCATCTCTCGCACATCTTGCACCACAGATGTTCCAGCCTGGCTAAAAAGCCTCCGCCTGCACAAGTACGCTGCGCTTTTCTCCCAGATGACGTACGAAGAAATGATGGCCCTCACGGAGTGCCAGCTAGAGGCTCAGGTATGTGCTTCTGTGGGCTACTCCCTGAGAAGATGCCCCAGTTTGAACTCAAAGTTCAAGTCCAAAACAAACCTTGTTTGGACCATTACCTATACCCACCCACTAGCTTGCCTTGTTCTAGGAGCTTCCAGGTTCTGGCCAGCATGACATGGTGAGTAGTAAGGCTGGGTTCTTACGTTCAGTAGGAGGTAGAAGATGAGCAAAATAATCACAGGGCAAGTGATGGTGAGCTAGGATGTTAGGGAAAAGGTACAGCCTGGATATACTCCTTAAGTTCTAGGTTGCTGGGGGAGAATCAGTGAAGTCTCCTAGAAAAAGTAACATTTAACGAGGGACTCAAAGAGTATCTTCCTGCTGTTGCTTCCCTTGCTGCCCCTCTCTCTCCCCGACCAGGCCTTGTTTGGGGAATGACAGATTGGCTGTCATTTGTCCAGTCCAGTTACAAATCAGCTAACCTATACTAGTTAGTGAATAGAACTGCCAGGTCATGCCTCAGACCTTCAATAATACTTTTCCAAAAACCTGTGCAGACTGGTCTTAATTGAGATTGGAGAAGGTTGTAGAAAATGCTTTTTCTTCTAGACTCTTCAAGTAATATGTGACTATCACTGAGAATGGGATCACTCCAGGTCTCAGATTTCACTCCCTTCTGCGTGCCTTAAAAGATAAAATTCCTCCTTCCTTCTGAGGCATCTTTGCCCATGTAAGAATGCCAAAGACCAAACTGAACCCCAAAACTAAGCATGTTTCCTACCATGCTGTGCTCGAGTAAATAGATTTGACCGATGTCTTTGTTTCCCTTGTTTAAAATGCTATTTGCATGTTTCAAATTGACTTCAGTTTCCTTTGAGCGGTGATTTGAAAGAATTAATGGTCTGAATGGACTAATAGTATTTCCCCTGCAGGAAGAGGAGATTGGACCATTTGGGGCCTGGCTGGGCTGGAGGCACACCTCCCAGCAGAGCCCTGGGTTCCCAGTGCGTATTCAGTCCCCTGGGTAACCTCTGCAGCTCTGGCTGAATACCAGTATTGAGATGCAAGACAAAGCCCAAAGTCAGTGCACATTCTCCCAGAATGAAAGGCACTAATTTCAACTTCCTAATGCTTCTCCCACCACTTTTTGGATCTTGATTGTTCCTTCAGATCCCAGGGATTGATGAGAACTGCTTCTAAGAGCATTTTTGTGTTGGGTCAGAGTTGAGAAAAAAAAAATCTAAGTCATCAGTTGTTCTATTTGAGAAAAAAACAAGAAATAGTTGACACGAAGGGCAAGCCAGAGGCCAGCACAAACTTTTCTGAGTAATTTAATTCACTTGAACCCAAAGTCAAGGAAGAACAGAACTATGCCCCCAGTGCTTCATCTTGACGAGTTCAGTTGTCACTTAAGTCTTAATTTTTCTCAGTACAGGGTTGTCACTGGTGTTCCCATCTTCGTTAAGAGGAATTCTAGGAATTGCTGCAAGAAGCCACTTAGAAATTTGTATTAGAAACCTGATTTGAAAAGGACCTTCTATGTGGATAGTTGCAGTATCTAGAATGTTTATCTAAATCCCTAGGTTCATCATTACTACACAGTTAAGAGAAAATCCACAAGCTTACCTGTATATCCTAATCATTTACCAGAAATGATGACTGAGTTATAGATTTAAGTTATAGCCTATTCTAGTTTTCTTTATGGAGACAAATAGGGGCTGGGAACTGACAAAAACTGCCTGTGTAAGGTGCCAGGTAAGAATGATACTGGAATTCCCATCTTTTCCAAATGGGCAATTACAGGAAAGTTTGAGGCACAATGAATGTCTGTATGAGGATGCAACATTTAGGACAACTAGGAAGGACTGAAATGATAAACCTAGAGAAGAGGAGTGTGTGACTTAAAAATGATCTTTTAAGACGACGAAGAAATGTCAAGCTGGGTGGGGTAATTGGCTGCTCTGTCTCTCTCTCTCTTCTAAAGGTCACAGCCAAAAGACACGGGTAAGCATGTAGGTTAGACTGGCTAGTAAGCAGAGGTTAATGACAATGGATACTAAAGAGACACACAAATGGATATTTACTAGCCTGCTGATGTGTAGGAACAAAGCAGACGGCGAAGGACAGCCTCTGGGAGTTTCTAAGCTGATTCTTAAATATGTTTTTAAATATGACTTCTAATTACAGAATGTTACCAAAGGTGCAAGACACAAAATTGTCATCAGTATTCAGAAGCTCAAAGAGAGACAAAACCTCCTGAAGTCTTTGGAAAGGGTAAGTGATGGCCGGGCCAAGGAAAGGCTCCACCTTCACCATAGGAAAGTAAACCATGGAAAATCTCAGTTGAAAGTGTCGTTGGCAGACCTCAGAGAGTGTGCTGTGCTGTTTCCCTAAAATCAGAAAAAAAAAAAAAAAGGAAATGATTGTGCAGTGACACTTGCTGGTTGTCTACACTGGTATGTGACCTGACGGCCCAAACGTACGTCCTCCCTGGGTGCAGTCCCCTGTGACCGCTGTCCAGAGCTCTCCAGGAGCACAGTAAATGCACACTTCATGTCCATTCTCTTCCCCTTTATGCACTTGTAGAGATCTCCCCGAGGTAACAGACAGTGTAGGGAATACCCAGATGTGCTTCATCCCTGCTGTCCACTGAGGGGAGAATCTGGCTTTGAAAAAAGCTGCCCCCTGGAGTGGCAAACACCAACTGGGGTGCCTCAGGTTTCAAGAGAGAGATCAAGATCACTCAGTAGTGGGGCATAGTTGGCTCTCCCAAGAATAATTTCAGATTTTAATTGAATAGTGTGGTTCCCCATGACTCTAGAAGGCACCCTCTTAAAAATACTTAAATGCTGAAAAAGAGTCTATTCCAGTATTAAAGTCGTTATCTGCTACCGTCACTTTGTGTTTGCTACATGAACTGTACTCTTCTGATCTTTATATCTGGACATCACCCTGGTGAGGATGTCATTTTTAGGACTTGGTGACTTTAGGATTTCATCCAAGATGCTTTGTACTGTGCCTGAGTGATCCGTTGCTGCCTCTGTGCCAGAGCTGGGGTGCTTGTGCATGACTGTTGGAGGGCTTTGGGGTTGGGAAGTTCAGTAGGTATTTGCTGCCTGCAAGGCTTTTGCAAAACAAACCTCTTCTAGTAATCCCAGGACAACTTTGAAAGTATGGAAAGTAGGTAAGCTAAAGCAAGTTTTGTGAGCACATAAACATTTTAATGGAATGCAGTTTTTTGTCATATTCACAAAGATGCATGTGTGTATATAAGTTTATATACAATATATAAAGTTATATTTAATTCATAGCACATAAAATATAAATTATATATATTTGCAGAATGTGTATCTAGACAAGTATAAGGCTGCTTTCAGATCCTCTAGATGGACAGGCTTCTTACCTATGCCCATGACAAGAGGCACATGCTTCATTAAGATGAACCACAAAGTGACCTGTCCAACTGAACCCCAGATTATTGATCCTTAATTTTATACTAACTCCTCTGCCAGGCAGCTTGTCTTACAGAGTGATTATTGCCATTTTTAATATAGGGGAACAGTCACAAGGCCAGTTTTCTCCTCATCTGTCAGAAAGCACAGAAAACATTTGGCATAGGGAGGAGGTTGCTGAGTGTTAGGGTGAAAGAGTGACTTGTCCCCCTATTTCTGGAGTGTCCTGCAGTAGCTCATTCCTATCCTCTACCTGAAATTGCCATTGGCTCTATTCCCAGCAGCCTTGGGCTGGTCAGTAGGGAGATACCAGGGCACAGGTGGCCTAACACACCACTGACTTTCTGTCCACCCTTTGCTATGTCAGTGATATATTCTGTGTCCCAGATTTCACACCTAGAATAATAACACCCCCCAAAAATACTTTCTCCCTGGTTCACCAAATGTGAGTGTTAAAAAGACAACAATGTAATACAAATCTGAGAGCAGCTAATGGCCAAGAACCAAGCAATAATGTGTTTATTCTGTTTGACTTCTCTGGGGAGGAAAGCTGCCACAGAAAGCTCTGCCCCTCCAGAAGCCAGTGGCCTGGGGCTGGGGTGACCCTCCCCTCAAGATCCCCTGAGGATGCAACCCCTGGCTCTGTTCTCTTTTCTCTGGGCCAGGCCTCTCCCTGCTTTTGAGGGTAGGACTTGTCCATGACCTGTTACCATGTAGAACAGCAGCAACAGACTCAAGTCAGCCCTTTCTCTGGTGTTCCCAGACATCTCAGTTGATTATGCTGTTGAAAACGCTGTCATCATGCCCTTGCCTGCCTACAGCATTCTTATGTCACATAGAACCTGGAGATTTCTAAGGAGATGGGGGCACCCCGCCCGGGCTAGTTCATAATCAGTAGTGGCTGCAGATAAGCTCTTCCCCAGAGCTCTTCCACTCAGTTCCTGAACACTTAAAGCAGCTGCTTGGACCAGAGTTACTTCGTGCACTGGAGGCTAACCGTGAGTGCACTCCTGCCCTCGGCTTGCTCGCAGCATGCCTGGCATCACATGGACATGAGGCTGATGCTCTCACAACCCAGGGCCTTCCATGGCACCCGGGGGCAGGTGGGGAGGGGCATCTTCTGGGATGAAGCAGACCACCCAGCAGTGGGGAGGAGCCGTGCTGACTGGAAGATTCATTAGTAACCTATAGCCAATCTTGGTGGGCCCCCTAAGCCTAGGGAGGGGCCATGAAGGTGAAGGGGCCCAGAAAATAGCAGGGGGTTAGGCATGGGTGCCATGCCTTCTGGGGACCAAAAATATAGGAGGAGTTAATAGTGTCAGAGACTTGGAATTGAGTTTGACTCATTGAGTCTGTGGTGCACTGGGTGGAGGTGGCAAGTCATTGGCCAGAAAAAGAAGTCTAGAGTTCACAAGTCTCAGTTGTGGGTCACTGTGTAAATGGTAGTTGATATAATCACCCCTCCATACCAAGTGTGTTTTGCATGATGAGAGCTGAGGACAGGCCCTAAGGAGCACAGAAAGATGTGGAGGGGGTCTAAAAAATCTACTGTCCCCTAGAATTGGCCACCAGTAGGTCACTGTAGCCATGATGGAAGGGCTTCAGGGAAATGGAGGGGATAGAAGCAGAAACCCTTGAGGCCATGGGGTGAGGAAATAGGCGATTGGGGGGAAGGAAGATTAAAATGGTAGCTTTTTTCAGCATTTATTTTTAACAATGAAAACGTTTCCACATGCTTTTTTCCATCCTTTTGAGCCTGGAGCCTGGCATGGAGAAAGGACACACACACACACACACACACACACACACACACACACACACTGTTCTCCCTTAGTCCCCTGTCCTGACCACACACCCTCACTGTGTGGGTCCCAGGAACTGTAAGCATATCTCTGGATGAGGACTCTGTGGTCTTCCATTTTATTTCCCCAATGCCTAACAGTGCTTGGCTCATGGCAAGGCTCACTGATACTTGAGGAATGAAAGGAGAAAGAGAATGGATTTAAGTAGATCCAGAGATACCATCTGTGTGAGAAGTCCAAGTTCTTTGGCCACAGAGAGTTGAATAATTGCTGGGGACCCTTGGCTGTTGAAGTTCTCTTTTCAGACAACTGTTACACAACCTGCAAAGGCCTCTGAACCAGTCTTACCCTGATCTGAGAAAGCCAGACTAGGAAGGCTGGGATGTTCAGAAAGTAGCTTCCTTCCTCTTATCTGCCCTGAGCCCATGTCCACCGAGCTGAAGGCCATGCAACAGTGGGCTCACTGCACGTTAGCTTACAGACAGCTTTGTTTGGCCTCTTTGTGTTTGTCATGTAGGTTTATATTTATGGCATGAAGGATCAATAGAGACTTGGGTTGATTCCCTAGTTTTGTCAACATGGAAAATTAGTTCCCCTCGCTAGTGAAAGGCACTGGATTGGGTTCCATTTGAGATGTTCCCTAGCTCCCTTCTCAGCTTGAGATCTGAGGATTGAGTTCTGAAACCCATCTTGAAGGATCAGGAATGTAACCTGATGTCACAAGTGTCACCCTCCAGAGCTGGCATGAGCAGCAGTACTGCTAACTGGTTGTCATCCAAGTGTTATCTCAGAGACAGAGGATTGAAGTCTGGGGCTTGGGGAGATGCGTAGGGGAGTGGGAAGGGGAGGCAAAACCAGTTAAGTTATTTTACAGAAAAAGTCCAATATTGTTATTTATGTCATGGGTTCCTTTCTGGTGTGGTTGTCCCCAATGGAATAAGGTAAGATTTGAACATGGGGAAGTATATGTTTCCTCTCTGAAGGAGTTCAGCTCTTAAGCATAATCAAAATCTCCTTCCCCACCACTGAGCAAGTGCAGAGAGCTTCTGAGTGTGACAGGAGCAGGGAGGCTGGGTGGCAGTTGATGGAGTCACGAGCAGGCATCTGCTCACTCAGAGGGTGCAGCCTCGTGGGATGGCAAGGCAGGGATGCACTCACACCCCCCCCCACCAGCTCGACCTGCCAGCCTTGCTTGCCCAGCCCCTCTGTGGGGCACCCTCACTCCTCTTCTCTCCTTTCCCTTCCCCTCCCCCATCATACACTCCATAAGCAGCTCAGTTCCCCCGACACCCCATTCCTGGTTGGGCAGTTGGCAGCACTGTGAGGCAGGGCCCCCCCATTTGCACATTGTTAGGTTAGGAGAGGCAGCAGGTGCTTGCCTGCCCAGGGGCAGCTAGCTTGCTTCCTGGCCCTCCTGCTTTGATCTGTCACCAGATCCAAAGTCGAGGAGTCAGTCATATGATGGCATCAAACTCAGGGAATGGACTGCTTAGTCCAGGCAGCAGCGAAATTGGGAATGCTCAGGATCCTCCTCCCGACTCATGCATGCGTCAGGCCTGCCAACACGGGCTGCTGGCTGGCTGGCGGTCGCGCCAGGTTCAGAGGATGGGGGTAGAATCTCTGAAGCCCTCCTCTTTGCAATGGACTCTCTCTTACCGTCAGCCAGACAGTCGCCCTGGCCAGGTTGGAGGCAATTCTAGTGGCTATTTCCCTCATAAACCCACAGTGCCGACTAGCTAAGACACAATTCAGGCTCTGCTTCCAACCCCCTGAACAAAGCAGGCTCCCACCAAAGACAGCAGGTTGTCAGTGCTTTGCTGCCCACAAGTGTAACACCAAGTTCAAGGCCACCATCCTCAGGTTTCCTTTCCTAATCATTTATTGGAAAGTCAGGGTCAGAAATGATCACATTCCACATGCCTGTGTTCCTTGACATCATCAAGCAATTTTTCTTGGTAGGAGAATATCCCAGGAATGGATTGGTGCTCATGCTTCAGGCTTTTAAAATTATGTCCTTGCTATTCTGGGCTCTCAGAAGATTAAATACTTCATTACTAATCAGGGCCCTGATTGTCAGTGTCCTTTCTTAGTCCCCAGGGGATGGTTCACTGCATAAGCACAGTGGCAGAGGGCCGGCCCATCCACATGCCCCATCCCCAACTTGACCCCCTGCCACACTCCCAGCCACAAGTGTCTTGGCCTGTTCTGCACCTGTGTGCATGTGGGTAAACGTCCATGAGACTCCATCTTCATTCCTTTCTCTAATAATGCCCAGTATGTCATACTATTACAGAAGGATCCACTGTATACCGTAAAGCTATGTATCTATTAGATGCTAGTATAAACATTATAGTATAGACATATTATACGTATTTTCTCCAGAGTGACCCTTCTAAAATTTGTCACTCTCCTGATTCATTAAGAAGAAACTCCTGCATCCCCACCCCAGCCTGCAAACTTCTGCCGTCAGAGCCCTGCAGCTTCTTAAATCGTTTCCTGCCCCTCCCTCTTACCCAGCCCCCTCCACCTCAGGTCTTTGCCCTTGCCATGCCTGCTGCCTGAAGCGCCCTTTCTCAGGACCCGATGCCCAGGCTCGTTTGATTCCTCGTCCAATATCACCCTCTCAGAAAGCCTCCCCTCTCAGCGGTCCTGTCCTCGGTTCCTAGCATGGTGAATATTCATCTCATGTAGGATGTGAATTCCCTGAGGGAACTTTATAAAGGTTATTCCCACCACATCCCCATGCCTAGCACAGTGCCTGGCACACTGGCACGCTCCATATGTACTTAATTTACAAGCACACAAGGCCGATATTATTGTTATCCTCATTTTACATACCCAGGGTAGCTGAGACACAGAGAAGTTAAGTCATTTAGCCAAGGTCACACAGCACAATCAAAATTCAAACTGCAGCCATCTGTCCTAGAGTCTGTGCTGTTCACTGCTAGCCCCTGTCATGGGCTGAATGCAGGGGTGAATAAACAGGCACCTTTGTCCAAACAAATCACATATAGGAAACCACCACAGCCTTATTACGCAGCCTCTCAAAATGTGTGAATGTAAACTATATAAATGCATTTTATAAAAAGACACTGAGGAATTCAGGAAGGAAAAGTACCAAAATCATTTTAGTGATCACTAAATTTAGGATTTGGGGTTTTTAGGTGATGTATAGTTTCCTCATTATACATATCTGTGTGCTACCTGGGCTAATATTAGAATGATAAAATTAGAATGGTTGCTTTTCCAGAGAATGTTCTGAGGGGCCAATGCCTGGTCCTGTCAGCAGTTGGGGCAGGGGCTGGTGACATCGAGGCAGGCCACCTGACCCTAATGCACACCTTCTCCCTCTGACCTTCCAGGATATCATCGAGGGGGGCAACCTGCGCATCCCACTCCAGGAACTGCACCAGATGATCCTGACTCCCATCAAGGCCTACAGCTCCCCGAGCACCACCCCTGAGGCGCGCCGCCAGGAGCCCCGGGCCCCACACCCACCCTCGCTGATGGGCCCCGAGAACCAGAGCCCCGACTGCAAAGAGAGTGCTGTGGCCACTGGCGCCACGGCAACCACCTCAGGAGGGGCCAGCGGTGGGCTCCAGCCACACCAGCTGAGCAGCTGTGATGGGGAGCTGGCTGTCGCCCCCCTGCCGGAGGGGGATCTCCCCGGGCAGTTCACACGTGTCATGGGGAAAGGTAGACCTCGATTCTCCCACCTCCCCCTTTTCTTCTGTTAATATCATTACCCAGAACTACCTGTTCCCAAGGGGCTCCCCCTGCATGCAGATCCATTGTCTGCCAAAGGAGAAGTCAATAGCCCATTTTACAGATGAGGAAAGTATAGTTCAGAGGTTAAGTTAGTTGGATCTGAACTCCAACCTCCCTGACTACCCTCACCATAGGCCTCTTCCTTAACCCTTACCCTGTCTGCTTTCTCTCTCACATCCCCACACCAGGAGTGTGCCCTGGGCCTCCTAGGAGAGTGCTAGGGCTAACATCAGCCCTCACCCGGGACCATGCAAGGCATGGGGCTGTGCGTGCATACGTGTGCCTGTGCCTGTGCATGTGCGTAAGTGCGTGCATGTCTGTAGGGTCAGCCAGAATGCACCCGTGGTCCTTTCTGCCTGGATAACCTGTGACTCAGGCCCCTATGCACTTATCCTTGGAACATATTTGTGTTTATGGGACGTTTCACAAGAAATCTTGATTATTTTAAAATTGTAGTAAATTCCAGTACTTTTCCTTTGGGAAGGGGAAACAGTTTTTTTCTTTTTTATTGTGCAATATTTCAGGACATTTTAAAGAATCAAGTTTTTACCCAAAGACATGGACACCTGAGCCTTAGAGGAACTGAGCCCCATCGTCCATGACATAACACATTTAAATCCATAGAAATCTGGTTCAGTGTAAAACATTTAAATCCATAGAAATCTGTTTCAGTGGCCATGACTTTTACCATCCTCAGAGCTGAACTGTCAGTATCTTGATGGGTTCAGCATCCCCCACACCCAAGTGGGTTCTTTGTGGTGTTGGATTAATGTAACATGTGGCCATGGTTAGCTGAGTATGTGGAGCATCCCCACTCCCCTATGATGAGGTCCATGGTGTGCTTAACCCTCAGGAGACCTCCTCTGACATGACTTCTTAAAGTTTAAATGCTTCCAAATATTATCATAAAGAAGTAAACTCATGCTCAACATTAAAAAAATGGTGGAAAGTGACAAATAGACACCTCACACTGAGCTCTGTTATCTCTCCACCTCTCCCTCCACCCAGAGGTAACCACTAAGAACAGGTTTGGAATATCCCTTCAGAAGCTTTGTGATCATATACAAGCTCATGAGTATCCTATTTTACACACAAACAGATCTAGTTTACCTGTTTTTCTGCTTTTTTCTCACATTAGTACTTGCAAATATTTCTGTCAATACAGATATCACCTCCGTTCTTTTTTAGGGTTGCATACTATTCCGTGGTGTGGGAAAATCATCCTTTATGTAACAGGGTCCCAGTAAATAGACACTGAGATGGTTTCCAAGTTCTTATTTTTTAAATGTCATAGTGAAAATCCATATGCAAAGACAGTTTATTTTCTTACATTGTTTGTCTTAGTACAATAGTTGATTTCTCTGCTCGTGTGTAGTCCCCATAAATCTCCCATTACCACATCACCGTGAACCATCACCATAGTATCTAGTGCTCTTCCCTCCCCTATTTTGACCCATCTCCCTCCCCCTCCCCTGCAATAAGTCTCAGAACTATAGTTTGCCTGCAAGTATTGTGTGTCTCTTTTTTTTTTCTGACCCTTTGTTCGGACTGCCTATATTCCTCCTATAAGTGGAACCATCTGCTATTTTTTTTCTCCTTCTGACTTATTTCACTGAGCATAATCCCTTCTAGTTCTACCCATGTTGCTGCAAATGGCATGAGTTTATCTTTTTTTGATTGCTGAATAGTATTCCATTGTGTATGTATATATGTATATATACAACTTCTTGATCCAGTCATCTGTTTTGGGGTATTTAGGTTGTGTCCATGTCTCAGCTATTGTAAATAGTGCTGCAGTAAACATAGGCATGCAAGTTTCTGCAAAGACACAATTTAAATGTGATTGTGTTACAGACTGGTTATTTAGGATTGGCAAGAGACAAGAATCATGGTGACCAGGGTTCAAGCTTGACTACTTGAGTGCAATTGTTCATGTTCATATTGACATCTTTTATCCATCCATTCCCACCGTAGCCTTCTAAACACCACTGTCCACCACCACTATCAAAGCAGAGCCTCTTTGCCTCTATGGTGGGCATGGAATGGGCCACACTTAGAGGGCCATGGGAAATCCAGAGAGAGTGTGTACCCTATCCGTAGACTAGCTCCACTCCATCTGCTTAGCATTTACTGGAGTGTGCCGGTGAACCTGTGTATGTACAAATGTGTGTGTCACTTTGAGAAACAACCCTCCAAGTGACTGACTAGCAGGCTTCCCGCTCATGTGTGCCCACATGACTCAGGTTCCAAAAGAGGTGCCAGCCTCACTCTTGTAAATAAGGTGTGCAGTTCATTCATAAATTTAGGGAGGCTGCTTTCTGATAATATCCATGGTCTTTGATGCCTCTGAACTCCCTCTCAAAAGGAACATCTTTCAAACACAGAACTTGGGACACTGCTGTGTTCTTCCTCTCACAGAGTGTCTGTCTCAGGCGGGAATGCAGAAAGCTTAATATAGAATGGTATGACTGGAATTAACCAAAGGGGCTCCTTGAGGCACCGGCTCCTGTGGTGACCAAAACTTTGACTTCAGTGGAATGAAGAGCCTCCTGGCCTTTTTTATGAACCTTGCGTAAAGCCACAGGCACACATACCTCTCAAAATATTGGTCCTGAAAGGAAATCAGAGGCAGATCTCAGAGGCTGTAGAATATGTGTGTGCATTTTTCTAATTCATCTTTTTTTTTTTTTTTTAATTCACAGTGTGCACACAGCTTTTGGTCTCCAGACCTGATGAGGAAAATATAAGTTCCTATTTACAGCTCATAGACAAGTGTCTAATTCATGAGGTAAGTAGAGACAGGTTTCATAAAACTGTTTTTCTCTTTGCTTAGAAATGGTTCTCAGAGTTTCTGTGATATGATCATTTTGGTCTCTAACAGCTTGTTTTTGAGGGGTGGATGGTCATTAATAATAACTCAGGCAGAACTGGGCTATGGTGACTTCAAACCTAAATACAATTGTGTATTACTCTGGTGTCTAAAGATTCGTCTACACTGAGCTCTGATGTGAGGGCAAATGCCTGGAGAAGCTTGAGACTCCGGAAGAATCTCTGAGTGACCGAGCATAGGGTGGTTGACCAGCCACCTGGCCCTGGGTGTTTTCAAGTCTTTTTAAAATTTTGTGTTGGAACATACTACCTTCTGACTCAGAGAAACTTGAGAGGGAGGAGAGGGTTTGCAAAAAGCAAAAGGAATAATGTGTGTTTGTGTGTGTGTTGTGTGTGGTTTGATGGCTGCTCTGCTGTGTTTTGATTTGTGATTTTTATAGGAATTGTATTTAGCATTTAGCCATATGTCCTTTTGAAGAAGGACGGAGGCAGCTGGAGCTGTGCCCACCAGACTCTCAGAGCTCTAAGCACACTCTTCATGGAGAGCCAGGCAGGTGGTGGGCACGGCTGCCCTGAGGAGCCTGCAGGGTCAGGAATTGTGCTTCAGATCCAGGATTCCATGCCCACCAAACTCTCCACCTCGCCCCCCAGCAAGAGACAAGGTCTAGGCTTTAAAAACCTTAGGACTGGATAAATCGAGAGGACTGAGGTCTTTTTGTGGGATTCTGTTATGAGATTAAGATGTTAAAGGCCTCCAAGTTCCTCACCATTGCCATGTTGGTGGCCAGAACCCTGGGATCCAGAGGGTCCCCAGGAAGGGACCCCAGCACAGAGATCTGGTCTCTTACCTACCCTCCCAGCTGCCACACTGCCATGCCTGCTGTTCTGGGCCCTCCACCCTTCTGTGGCCTGACTCCATGCACCCTCAAGCACAAGTGTATAGTCCCCACGGGTTTCTGTGCAGCCACTCCTCCCCTCCAAACCCTGTGATTTCCTTTCCCAGCAGCACGAATTCTTGTGTGCCCCTCCCCACTCCATCCATACACCCTCCCCTAGTTCCAATTCTGATACTGCTTGCTTTGGACACCTCAAAGATTGCAGAGAGGGCAAGAACATATTGGTTCCATAGATATGTATTAAGTACCTAGGCCATGCCTGGCTGTTTCCAGTGTGAGGGTAGTGGCTGAGACAAAAGGAAAACAGGTCATCACATGATAAAGCCTCAAATGAGGCCATCCTGGCATCCCACGGAGCCTAGAGGAGTGGTAGACATGTAGCCCAGAGCCCAAAACAGGGCATTTCTTCAAAGAAGGACTCTCTGCCGGCTGAGAATGGAATGGCGAGCTCTGCTGTCTCAGTGGTGGAGTTTTGGGAAGAAAAGAAGGCGGAAGAGCAGTGCTCCTGGCAGAGTGCTGCATCTGAGGGCTCTGGCAGGGAGAGGAGTTTGGGCAGCTTCAGGGGACTGGCAGGGGCTCAGAAAGGAAACTTGTTTCGCCTCCCATGCCCACTATCACATCGAGCCTTTAATGTGTAGAAAGACTGACCTTCCACCTTACCTCAAGTTCACTGAGCCCGTGAGACAAAAGGATCCCCCCAGCAGCCTCCCTTGAATGCTGAACAGCCTGTGCTCCTTGATTTCCTGCTACCGTGTATCCTTCTCTCTGGACACCCCAACTCTCCTTCTTGTTTCTGCACCTTTTTCCTCCCTGGCATCCCCAAGTGAGTCAGTCCAAAGGGGGTACTGTGTAGACTCCTCTTCTGCTGGCAAGAGGCCTTGATTGCTGGAAAGGGACCTCTCACATTGGGAGTCACAGCAGAAAGGAGCTTGTGTTTGCTTACCAGAATTTACACAGGATGGAGGGGTCTGCACTCTGCTTTGGAAGGGAAAATGTTCAAAACTTGTTATTATTATTTTAGTTCGAGAAAGAGGAAACACATTTGAATTAATTTTCCACAGCCTCAGGCTATTCTCTGTGGGCAGAACACACCCTCTCTGTGAGGCCCCGTTGAGGCACATAGTTTCCATCCTAGATGAAGGTTAGCCTGGGCTCACAGAGACAGGCCTCCCTTTCACAGCCCGAAAGTGCTAGTCTTTATCCAACTGGAAAGGGAGGGTATTGACAAAGCCAAGACACCATCTTTCTTCCCCTCAGGAGCATAGCTACTGAGTCCCCGGAGTAGTGAAAGACAGGACAGTTCCGAATTTTATTTCTGAGACGAACCACTCCGTCTCCTAAACCATAATCCCAGGCTTCTTGCCTCCTCAGCATCTTGAGGTTCTGGAAAGATGAACTCTCACCCCCTTTTTGAGCCTTTCAATGCAGACACACAAGCTATAGGACACATTTCAGCCATCTTCCACCAGACAGACTTATTAGTCTGGGCCTGACAGGAACAGACAACACGGAAGTGACTGGCTGGCTGTGTCTGGGCAATCTGGAGTGTGGAATCTTCCTTCTTCTCCAGTCCCTGCAGAAGCATCTGCCAACCCAACTCAGAGCTACCAGTGGTGGGGGCTGAGGTAGGTACCAGCCAGGGCAGAGTTTCCACAGAGGAGCGCTCCTTTGTAGGCACACACAAGAGCCTGCTTTCAGAAATCCCCCAGAGCCTACCATGACCCAACTACGCTCCATGCCTCCCAGCGGCAACTTCCGAGACTAAGAAGACAAGCCCACAAACAGCACTGCCAACGGGTGCCTGCTCTGAACCTCAACCAGGAAATAAATGAGCCTGATAGGCAGGTGTAGCAGCAGGAAGGCCACAGGGCAGGTTCTCTAATGACCCAAACAGAAGAAGTAAGAAGGAGTCCTAGAGCCCTCAGTGACTTTTGCAGACTTTTATTGAGATTTTCCAGGTACACGGCAGGCAGGGGTGCCGGGGGGCTGGCAGTCCTAGCCTCCAGGAATCTTCACTCTTTTCTGGGTTCTCCGGTGTTCACTCGTGGCCTTTAGCTTCTCTTTTGCTCTCGTTCTCTCTGCTTCCTCTGCTCACGTCCCCGTGACGCCGCCATTATAAGTCCAGTCTTAGCCCAGGTGAATCCCATCTACCTATGCCCACACCCTACTCCAGGTGCCCACCATCAGGCATGCATTCAGGACCGCAAGGATCCATCATCAATCATAATGGCGGGAGGGCAGAAAAACCTGATTTTTTTTTTTTACCTTACCCTACAGCAGGGTTTGAGTGAAGGAGCTGACTTCTCTGAGGGTATATAAATATTTGCATCATCTTGGATGCCCTTCACCTCCACAGGAGATGTCGTGGTGACCTGGTGCCCTTGAAGCACTTCACACATCTGTAAATGGAGCCATTTACTCCTTTGTCACTTGGAAAACTCAGGCTGTTGTCTTTCAGGCTGACTCCTGAGGATCTTGATTTGTAGTTTTAGGGACCTAAAGTAATTTGTTGAGGCTAAAGGTGATTGTGAATGGCAAACTCAACAAACGTCCACATCCCACCACCACAATGCTGGTCTGTGCAACCCCAAACCTGGGCTGCGTGGCTTCGAGCAGCACATGTAGAGCTGTTACTAAGATCATGCACGTTCTAAGTGTTCTGAATACTTTTCACCTGTTAACTCATTTAGTCCTTGTAGCTTCCCTTGGAGGGAGATGGTATTAGCCTCAGCTTTCAAAATAAATTGAGTGTCTGGTAGAGGTACTGGCATAACTGTATGCAGGGATTCAAGCCCTGCTCTTATCTATCCAGGGCTTTCCTCTCCCACCTTGGGCTGGACTCTTTCGCTCCAAATCATCTTGATCAGCACGCCTATAGCTTGTGTCCTCACTCAACATTTGACTGGATGAGCTCATCAAAAGCAGGCTTTGTCCATCCCTTTAGTAGTTGAACAGAAATGCTGCCTTTGCAGTTTCCCAAGGTACTCACTGCAGGTAGCACTCAGCCATTGCAACCAACAAATGAAATTGCCAGAGGAAAACCAGGTCTTCACATATGAGCCATGAGACTATGCCGCCTCACAACTTACTGGGGGTATGCACCTCTGTCTATAATAGGGCACTGAGCCCCTGAATCCCTGGGCAGCATCACCCTTCTTGGTTACTGAATGTCCTTAAGGGCATCTATCTGGTTAAGGTCATCCAGAAGGCAGGGATTTGCAGTTCAATTGAACTTTTTCACAATATGATTAATATCTTTTTGCTTTTGTTCACCTAGCTCTCCTGTGTTTAGGTCCTTAAAGATTAAATGTTGTCAGGAGAAAGTTAAGCTGTCATTTTTCTTTGTTTAAGAAGTGTGTCCTTTATGGGAAATAGCCAGTGTTATGCTAAGTAATTGTTTCTTGCTGCTTAAAAGATTCCATGCCTATTGACAACTACTGGGGTACGTTATCTGGATCACTGTTACTGCTAATCAGTCAAATCTGTTAGATCTTCCGCAACTGTGGACTGCAAGGTGTAGGCATTTGGAAAGGATTCCTGTATTGGGTGTATGGCCCTCACCATTTAGAACACCCTAAGTCCATGCTCTGCTTACAGCAGCTCCATGAAGACACATACGACGAACCCATCCCCCTGAAGCCCCAGACCTATTAAATTGGGCTATAGGTATCTAAGAAGGAATCCAGGAATCTGCATTTTAACAGCCTCTGTGGGTGCTTCTAACATATCATTTCAGAGCCCCAGGAACTCACAGCCCCTGCAAGGTCCCTTTCCAGGCTTTGCTGAGTTACAAAGTCCATACACACAATGACACATAATATAGATGAGAATGTTTTATGTTTTTATGTTAGCAAAACATCCCCTAACACCAATTTTACTAGAAAAAACTTGGGAAGGCATCAACTCTACCCATTTTCCTAAACAAAACAGTTTTGGGCAGGATTGGTGCACTGGGACTTTTGAAAGGCATGTACCCTGTAACTGGAGATTTCTCAGCAAAGCCCTGTGACACAGAGATGCAACTCCATTGTCTGAAGCCTTGGAGATCCTGCACAATGACCACACTCATCAAGCAGATTGATTTTTGGAGTGGCTTAGCATTTCCTTTGATTATGAAAATGCAGGGGGCCTGCAAAAGCCAGAGTATTCAACAATCAATTTTGCAATTCATTCTTGGTTAATAAATAGAGTCCAGAGTGGAGTCAGGAGGAAGGGAGGTGGGTATGGCTCTGCCAGAACGCAGGCAAAATGAGGGCTGTTCAAAAGCTTCATGCATATATCTTAGCAGGCATATCCCGTGTCAAATAACTCGAATTTTCAGTACAGGCAGCTCCCAAATAAGACTGATTGCTCTTTGGACTAGGTTGGAAACAGGTGAAGAAAAGGCAACTGTAGGGACTCCAGTGTTTCCCCCTATTAATTGCATGTTTCTCCCTCTAATGTCAGACTGCGTCACCCATTAAGAAGTCCCATTTGTTTTTGCAGGCATTTACAGAGACACAGAAAAAAAGATTGTTGTCATGGAAACAGCAGGTGCAGAAGCTCTTTCGGTCTTTCCCTCGGAAAACCCTCCTAGACATATCAGGATATCGACAGCAAAGAAAGTATGTTGGGATTTCATTTTTTGTAATTCACAGTGGTTCCCTGGTGCCTTGCTTCCAGCCTGGGTTCCTGGGGCAGAACAAGAGGAGGGCATTGTTCTGCCCATGGGGACGCCCTGCAGACAGTTCCAGATAGCATTCCTTAAACAGGTGGGCTTGGGGGAAAACTAGAGAGAAAGCATTCCCAGAGGAAGAGCTGAATAGGATCAGTTAGAACTCAGTTTACACTGTCAAAATGATGCTATTATTCAAGCTGGGCACCAAGGGGACAGTGGGTGTGATGTCATGAGTGCCAGCACAACACTTGGTTTATAGCAAAAGGGGGTCCAGAGAGGACAAAAATGGTTTTTTCTATCAGCACCTTGAGTGTTAGTGTAATTTTTTTTCCTCCCCTCTAGCTGCAGACAAGCTAATTATAGTTGGTGGCAGGGTGAAGAGCCCAGTGCTAGGTCTATTTTGGTCTGAGGTGCCATCTAAGCGTGGAGCAGCACCATTCTTGATTTCTCATAGTACTTCAGCTTCTTGGATGCAGTTAAAAATAAGCCTAGTTGTACTTTAGAACCCCATTACCTTAATCTGGTTTTAAATTGAGGATCCAGTTGCATATGAAAGGTGAATTACAGTTACAATCTGGAGGAGGAATTAAGGAGAGGGGTGGAGGTAAGCCATGAACAATGACGGGTGTGTTGAGGGAGATGAGAGAATGATGCCAACTTCCTCAAAAATCAACATTCTATTTTATGTTTTTAAACATGAGCAGATAAGTACTAATTTTTCACTTGCACCTAAAAAGTTCTGATTCCTTTCTCATTGCATATATAGAAGCTCCGTGTTGTTAAACTATCTGGCATTTATTTGCATAAGTATGTCTTAAAACACCACTGTTTGATATTATTTAAGGGAGAGAAGGCCAATTGGAATTTGTGAAAAGCCTTCATTAAAGATTAATGTAAAAATTGAAGTGTTAAGATTCTCTAGCATATATAATGCTGTTATTTATTAAACATTTAGCACTTTCCATGTGCCAAGTAGTATCCAAGCACTTTGAGAATATTAATACACTTAATTCTTGCAACAACCATATGAGATAGGAATGCTATAGTTAACGCCGATTCACAGAGGAGTTGGTAGGTCACGCCATCCAGGATTTGGGCCACACAGGCCGTTGCGGCTTCAGTATCAGAGCCTTTAAACCCCTGTAGATGCCAATAGCTCTTGTGGCTTCTGGCTGATGTGGGGAGAAGATGATTAGGCAGAGCAACATCCTTTATTGCCAGCTCCCTGGCCCCAAACTTTCTGGAGCTGCCCACCCAGGCGGGCTCCTGGATCATATCTGCACCCAGAGGATACCTGAAGACCCAGCTTGTTCCTCAGTCTCCTCCCCTGAGGGCTGCTCTCTCCTACAGCGCTCTCTTTGTAAGTGCAACAGCACTTCTCCAAGTTATGTATCTCCAGACATCTCTTGCAATATCAGTTTCTTCAGGAGGACAAATTGCAAGAGGAAGAAGGAATTCAGAGTGAAGATGAAGATAAGGCTTTTATCTTTGATACTCCTTCCAAAAGTGCCATCCCCTGCCGGTATGACTGTTTAGTCCTTGGGTTAGCATGCCACCAAGGGGTACCCCTGAGGTCCCCAAGCTTGCATGCCCTAACAGGCCATCCAGAAACACAAAGACAAAGCATACTCTTAGTGTGAAAGAACTTTAATAGGATTATTGTGCTTAGAGAAGTGAAGCGAGTATAATGGTTCCCAATAAAACACCCAGTTACCCATCCCCTCATGGGTAAATGCCCAGCCAATCAGGGTTGGCCTGAAGCAGGGCTTGCTGAGGCCCAAAAGCCTGCTGCAAGTCCAAGGTACCTTCTGATGGAGAATCATAGAAAAGGGGAAGAAGGGGCAGGGCAAGTCTGGGATGAAAGGAACAAAATCAAAGTACAGATCAAGGTGACAGTTGCCATTGTTAGCCTCCCCACCAGTCTCTACCAAGTGTCTCTACATGTCACTCCTTCACGTGTCTCCTCCAAGTCCCCCAAGTCCCTGATGCAAATCCAAAACCAAGAAGCAAGGACCCCTCTCTATGTCTCTCTCATCTGAGTCCACCTGCCTTCTGTGTTATGTAAGTTCACCTGGCCACTCAGCTCCGCCCCCTAGTTCCCAGTAGCAAGCCCATGGCAGCTGCCTGTAAATGGGGGTGGGGAACACGTTAGCTCTGCCTTTTATGGAGATGACTCTATTGCACTTGGTCTGCACCAGTTCCCTTAGCAGAGTGGAGAGGTAGGAAAGTAACCTTGACCTCTCTAGAATGTTAACTAACGCTTGAATTGGTTTACCCAAGGAGTGTCAGATTAAGAGGCCTGGTGGACCTCTTTTTATTGATTAGATAAAAATGATTCTAATCATTGATTGTGGATGTTCGATTAGAAGTTGCTAGAAAGTAATTTGTTCTCATAAGTATTACCTCTGGTATCTTTTTATGCTATTAATTTGCTTTGAAGATCCATTTCTCTAATAATACAAAGGTAACTGCAGCTCAGCCCCTGCTTGAATTATCACAAATCCCAAATTAATTGGTTCTTACTAATGTTATTTTATCAGTCTTTTCATGCATTTCAATGTAATGAAATCAGTTGGTTAGATTTAGGAAGGCGGAAAGAAAGACACAGATGGGCAGAACAACAAAATGAGAAATGAAAACTTATTTTAGTCACTTTGTTCCCATTAATTATTTCATTAAACCTAGTTATCTTAAGTAACCTAAGCATTCACTCTGGTTTCTAGCAATAGCAACCTTCAACATGTCTGGCTTTGGTACAATAACCACTGACCCACAGAACAGTAACACCATCATTAGAAAACAGTCAAATTCTCCCCTTAATCCAAAGGATCCCCCAAATATTCTTGGCACTGCCAGCTGAGTACAGCTCAGCCCTATGAGCCCTGAATTTAGGAGACCCTAGCATCCAATTCTCCAGTGACTAAGTGTCTCGTAACAGAACTCTCTGCCCACATTACACAGCTTGAAAAATACAGCTTTGCCTTCCTGGAAGCACAAATCATTTTAGCATCACTCATTGACTGCAGTAGTTTGCATATGAAATAACTTTTAAAACATCCAACCCAAAAAGAAAATGATCAAAAAAGCTATCCACACTAAATAAGGAAAAGTCTTAGAAAAATACTGAATCATCTACCAGGTGGCCAAAATCTCAGTCCAAAAACCAAAGGACTAATTTCCATAGTTTTAAAAAAAACACCCACCACATGCTCCTTGTCTCCACCTATCACGTATCTGGGATTGTCCTTCCTCCAAAGGAGGGCCCTCGGGCCCCATGGGATGAATTCTACCCTTTCTGGCCTTCCAACCAAAAGTGTTTAATCTTAGTGAAAAGAAGGAAGAGGGGCGAGAAAAGGGAAAGAGGATGAGATATCCATCAAGAGACCTCATATCCTCTTTCTCATCTACCACATGTGGCTGAGCCTCTGACTGGAACCTGGAACTCTTCCCTTGGCCACAAAAGCCTGGAATTGGAATGACACAAGCCCAGAAATTAATTGCATTCACCATGGACTTTTCTTCCCTGCCACACTTCCTCCTTAGGAAATTTAGGAATTCTGGGGAGAAGAGAAAGCTTTTCTGAGGTCTACTGTGGCGTAGTCTTACGAGCCCCTCTCCCACAACTCTCATTTTCTCTGGAAATGATTGTTTTGCATCGTGTCACACACACACACACACACACACACACACACACACACACACACACACCCGCCTCGCCCCCCCTTCACCCCCCCAGCTGGTTAAACTACGTCAGCCTGTCTCCCCGAGTCTCCTCACAGGCTTAGCACCAGCCTCCCTTTGCAGCTGGGAAAGGAAGTCTGTTCCATCTTGTGGCTGTTGGGGGTAAAGCAATCTGACTGCAACCAATGAATGACTAAAGCTGACTCCTCTTGGAAAGAATGTGCCGGTTCCTGAAACCCTGCTGCCTGCTGTGTGCCCTCCCAGAACCTGAGGCATGTCCGAGAGGACGAGTTCTTCTGCGCTGAGATCACCAGACCAATGGGAGCACCGTGTCTGAGTAGGGGCCAGGGCCCAGCAGCCTTCATGCGGGGACCCCTGGGAGGCACGTGGTCCCCTGGTCTTCAGCAGGGAAGGCCTGTGGCAAGGCAGCAGCGTGCTGGGTCCAGAGAGCCCACAGACCCTGTCTGGGTTCTCATATCCTCCTCTCAAGCCAGGGGTCAGAAGCCCAGATGTGGGGCAGTTCTACTTGGAGAGGGATCGAATTGCTTGTTCCTTCAGCCTACATGTATGGTGCCAAAAATTGGATTCAGGCCTGGAATGTGCAGAATTGACAAGGACAGCACTGGCCTTTCCTCCTGGGGTTCACATCCACATAGGGCTGAGAGGCCACTCTGTCCAAGTCTGTCGCACAGACAATAGAAACAGACAATACGGTGAGGAGGGAGCACAGATCCGGGGTCTGGGCCTTCCTGGCTGTGTCGGACATAGAGGGCCAGTGCTCTGGGACCCAACATGGAAGAGTGTGCTGGCTCACCTTCTGCCCTCACACCCCAGCGCTGCCCCTTGCTGGCTGTGTGACTTTAGAGAAGTGGTTAAGCTCTCTGTTGTACTGCTGAAGTTGTAAAAGGGAATGGAGCTCCTACTTTATAGGATTGTTGTGAGGACTGAATTGATGTAAACATCCCAGCATGGTGCCTGTGATATTAGCCTTTAGGTGTTAGCTGTGCTCTTAATTACAGCTCTTTCCTGACATAGAACACACACCCCAATAGGCCTCATAACTGTGAAAATGCAAGTGGACCCGGGGTTGGGAAGAGTCCAGGGTGACTGAGGGGCTCTCATTTTCTCTCTTGGCTCTCACAGTCGCGGCTTTGGGCAGTCCAACTCACTCCCGACGGCCGGCTCTGTGGGCGGCGGCATGGGCAGACGGAACCCACGCCAGTACCAGATCCCCTCTCGGAATGTCCCTTCTGCCCGGCTTGGCCTCTTGGGCACCAGTGGATTCGTCAGCTCCACCCAGCGTAACACCACAGCCAACCCCACCATCATGAAACAGGGAAGACAGGTTTGTTCTGCCCCAGGGGTGAAGGTGACCAGCCAAGCCCAGGGCCCCCAGGCTTCTAGCCTCCACCCACCCCACCCCCCATGACTCTAAGGTAAAGGAAGAGACCAGAGAGGGTTTAAACTGAGGGACAGTGGTCTACATGCCTCAAAGGTAACCGGCATCCTGGCACTATATCTCTGGCAGACAAAGCAAGGCCATGGCTCTACCTGGTCTCATAGGTTTAAGATGCCCCATGAGTTGCTTCTAACCCCTGGGGTCTTTAGAAAGAAAGGCAAGTCCTATTTCTTACTTGCCTTTATCTTTGACCTGCCCCAGCAGACCTCACCAGCTCCACATCTGGCTTCCTGAAGAACATGAGCAGCTAAGGATCTTCCTTAGTTTTCTTATCATGGCAGATAGCTCCTCTGTCATGGTCCAGCTGTGGAGGAGAATCCACAGGAAGGAGTCTGACAGAGTCTGCCGGAGGGAGTGTTGGGACATTCTCAGGCAAAGTCCAAGCTGCTCAAAAGCTCTCTACTGTGCCATTCACAGCTGGCCTCCATCCCATAGCATCTAACCTCTCCAGCCCCGGCCCCCACCCCAGCCAATGGTTTGTATGGGACTCTCAGGCTGGTGCTGGAATTGGAGGGACTCAAGTGGATCCAGGGTTCTGGTCCTGAGACATCAAAGATGACAGATGGGCCTAAACACAGGAAAAAGCTCCAGACTAGACGGGCAGGATTCACTTCCAGGAGACTCAGCATGGGGTGTGAGAAAGCCCCCCTTTCTGTCCGTGGTTGGCACCTGGAAGTCACTGCTAAGACACCCGCATGGTAATAAGCACACAAGCTGAATTGTGTCAGCTCATTGCCAGCTGAGAGGCTCTTTTTTCTCCCCTTACTTTGTAGTAAATTGTCAGAATCTCAAAAAGAAAATCAAATGAGAACCCTGAAATAGTTTGTGCTCTTCGCAGCAAACGTTTATAGAACTTCCTCATTTCCTAGAAAAGTGACGGGAAAAGCAATAGCAACAACAGGGACAAAATGAGTTGTGGAGTAAGTGTGGGAGAAAGGTGTCCAGATTAAGTTGAGGGCTTGAGTGAGGCCCAGAGCTGAGGGGGATGGGAGGTAAAGAAAATGAATGGCATCTAAAGCCCTCTCCTTAAATACACAAATAAGTACCCAGGCCTATGAGCTCATTTCCAGAAGTTAGCATTTACTCCTGAATTCTGGCTGGCTGGCGGCCCTTCTTCCCCCACCCAAGGGCCTCGAGACTGACAGCTTCCCATTCCCTGTTTCTCACTAGAACCTCTGGTTTGCCAACCCCGGGGGCAGCAACAGCATGCCAAGCCGCACCCACAGCTCAGTCCAGAGGACCCGCTCGCTGCCCGTGCACACTTCTCCACAGAATATGCTGATGTTCCAGCAGCCAGGTAGGGCCCAAGCCTGAGCTCTCACTCACTGCCTTCTCCCCTTGACACAGCGGGGAGCCAGGGTGCCAAAATAGATGCCCCAATGACCACGGGTTCCTTTAAGCTTCAAGAAGCCTTTCTGTCTTTAAGCAGCGCCTCGCCAGCATGACCAGCAGATGACTGGCTGGGAGCTGGCACGGGGAGCCCTGGAGTTGGTTGTGATCTGACAGGGATTTTTTTTTTTTTAAAGATTTATTTATTTATTTATACAAGCACTGGGTACAGTCAGAAGCGCAGGAGGGTGAGAGAATTCACCAGAGCCAGAGGCAAAAGGACAGAAGTACACTGCTGAGGGGAGCAGCGGGAGGCAGGAGAGGTCTGCGCGCCATGTGGGACCCTCGCCCAGGGGCCGGAGATCAAACCGGCGCTGCAGAGGCTGCGGGCAGCTTCGCAACCCAGCGCTCAACCGCTGCGCCACCGGGGAGGCCCAGACAGGGATATTTTTGATAATATTTCTAGATTGCTTGAACCAGAGGTATTTCCTGAAGGGCTGGAGTGGGGGTGAGGGAGGGGTTCCATGTGTGGAGTGTGTGTGTGTATGTATGTGGGGTCATGTGTGGGGAGATGTGTGGATAACAAGACAAAGAGAAGACTCGATGGTGTTGACCCTGGGAGACCCACCCTGGTTTGGATTGCCGAGCACATGAGACTTATGGACAGGCATCTTCCCTTTACTCTGTAAAAAAGCAACTTGGTCACTTCAAGTCGATTTCCACTTCTCCGAGCCTCCTCAATCAATGGCCACAACTAAGCACAGCCAATACTTTATCCCTTTCTCTATATGGACAGTGACTTCTTAGATTCCACAAGTAATGCCAAGCCACGCAAGCCGTTAAACTCCTACTGAGATGACACTCCAGGCAGGCAAACCAGGCGTGTGATGTCCCTTTGGGCAGTTCCCTCCACCCCTCCCCCTGCACAGTGGATATGCCCTGTACCGTCTTGTAGAGCTTCAGAAGTGTCACTGTGTCCATGGGTGGGCAAGGAAGTTTCTTGAAATTGAAGCTGAGCTACAGGGAACAGCGGGTGGAAAGAGGAGGGTGGGGTTGCTGGCAGAGGAATAAAGGTGCAATGTACCGAGTGCTGGTGAGTCCCACTGCTGTGGCAGGCCACAGGGTCAGGCGGCAGTCGTGAAGTGCGGAGTAAAGAGTAAGAGAGCCATGGTCAGCCGTGGGTGTGGCTTTGAATCCAAGGCCAAGGATCTGGGACTCTGGCTATTATCAGTGGGGCATCTGTGGGAGATTTTGAGCAGGGGGTCAGGCAGGGCTATGAAAGGAGGGATAATAGGGAGGCACCCTAGAGGTGGGAGACCACTGAAGAGGAAGAGGAGCAGGAGCAGGAGGAGGACAGCGACAGGACAGAGCTTCCACCACTGGGTAAGGGGTGTCAGGGGAGGAAGGGACTTCCACATGATTCAGATGCTCATTAAAGTTGCTTTGTAGTTTCTAGAACTCCCTTTCATTTATCACTGTTTTAAAGCTCCTCATCTCTTCTTTCAATACTTGTAGGTATTTTTTTCCTGGGAAGAAATACTTAATAGAACTTGGGGGTTGTGACGGTGTTTAGTCCCTTCCTCTGTCAGTGGTCCTGTGTGACCGTGGGAGGCCAGCTCAGAGGAAAAGGATAGGGAAGGATAGGCTGGCAGCCTCACGGGGCTGCCTTCTGGGGATCGCGTCCTTCCCTTGATAAAACCACGTGCATACTACCCTTGGCACCAGACGGCCCAGAGGTAAGATGGATAAGGCGGCAACTTACATGGCAGCATCTCACGGTGTGACATCGCTGTCACTGTACTTAGCAAACCTCTGCTAAGTTCCAGCTCATGATTGGAATTCTTCCTCTGTTAGCATGGTGCATACCCAAGGCAGAGAGCTCTTGGCTGTTATCATTCATTCCCTCCTTAGTGTCAGTGAGTTGCAAATTCCTTCCAGAGAACTGCCTTAGAAAGAGTTGGGGGAAAGGGAGAATGCCCTTGGGCTCTGGAGCTACTAGTGGAACAGAAGGGGCTGCTATGTGAGGCAGAGACCAGAAGAGGGACCCACTTTGAGCACTTGAGAAGCCTTTGCTCCCTGCCTTCTAATATGCCGAGACAAACAGCTCTGCTCAGCACTGGCAGATAGGGGTAAGGGGGGGCCGATCAATGAATCAGTCCTATCACAGCCAGTAGCCTAGGTGGGCCCATGACCTCTGCCAGCCTCCAGCAGTCAAATGCTCAGAGATCAGCTTGGGGCAAGATGGTACAATGTTGTCATGTACCATATACTATTTGTCACTTTTTATGAAAGTGTGGGTCACAGAGGATTTCCACAGCACACACCTTCTGCAGGTCTAGGATGTTTAAGAAGCCACCAGAGAAAAGCTGCCTTCCCCATACAACTCCTATTTCTCTGCTGCCCACCTTGACTAGCTCAGCAGCGACCAGCCTGCCCTCCACCTGGGCCCACACTGATTTTGTTTGCCACCCTTTTACTCCTTAGTTTCCACCCTCCCTCTGTCCCCCTTTCTTTCTTAGTCCTCTTCTCATGGGCTCCTACTTTTCTGTCCCTTCCCAGTGAGACCTATCTTTCCAGATTTCTCTCCTCCAAGCAACTCACTTAACCAGACTAAAACCCTTCTATTTATTTAACAGAGCAGCCACAGCTGTCATTGGTAAATTGAAGTTCTAAAGTTTTTTCCTAGAATACCAGACCTATTTCTTATTCTAAAGTCCTAAGGAAATTGACACCTTCTTACCATCAAGCCTCAGTGCTTTGGAAAGAGCTGCAAGACATATACCTGAGTCATTAGGTGAGACTCAGCAAGGATGGCCAGTTTCTACCAGGGAAAGTCTCTGGGCCCCCCAGTTGCAGCACCACTTTATTGTGAATGGATAGCTCCTCCCTTCCAGAGTGTTCTTGACCTTGCTAGAGCACTGGGCTCTCTTTACTTGTAGGGATTCTGCAAAGGCACATTTAAAAATTTCCAACCTGGACCCTGGGCATCTTGGAATGGGAGGGGTGTAAATACTGGAATGGAGAGGGGAAGAACTGCTTGAGTCCAGAGAGATCATCCAAGCTGTAGACACCAGCTTGCTTGCGTTGGGCAACAGCAGAGAATTCAGTTTCCTTTTTGCCTAAATCAGGACTCAACAATGACTGCCTGGTGTACCACAGCAGGGGGCCCAGGATAAATGTGATGAGCCCACAGCAGGAATTGGCCTGGTCGTTTAAATGGACCTGGGGGGGTTTAGTGAGAGCTCCGCCCATCAAGCCGCACGTGACCAGGGGCTTCTAGCCTGAGATGGAAGCTGTTATCCACCCAGCTGGTCTCCTGTCTTGTCTGTGTGGGGAGATGCCACAGATCTGTTTTTATCAAATACGCAATTAAAAAGTCACACTATTAGGAAACTCTGGAGTGTGAACATATGGGCTTCTCCCAAGACTTAGAATTTTTCTGAGCCACTCTGAGAGTGGTGGGGGTCCTGGCTCCCCAGCGTGTCAGAGGGGGCAGAGCTGGAGGATAAAATGCAAGCATGCCAACTTTCAACCCAAAAGAGCAGCCACTGGGATTCGGAGATTCTGGAGTGGAGAGCCCCATATTTCTCAGCCCCCTTGTTGGAACACACAGTCCCAGGCTTGGAAATGGCATTTTGCTGTGGGTTGGCAAGAAATCCTGCAGCTGAAACACTTCTCTCCAAATGTCGAGCATCTTTATTTATCCAAATCTCTCCACAGTGTTTGTTTAAAGGGGAGTGCTAGAGAGTAAACTAAATTTTACAATGAGCATATGGATGGCTATAATTGCTGAGGATTTTTTTTCATATTTGCTTACTTGCTATATATAAAATTGTGTTTCTATTTTATAGATTTCACACCCTGAAGGCTGCTAATTTTTGCATGCATATGATTTTCACATGAATGGATGGAAATACTAAAATATTCTTCCCTCTGGATTATCTTAATTGCCCTGACCCTACACTGATAGCAACTAGTGGGTGGAGGTGGAGGGAGACCCTCCCACCCACTATGGCCCCAGCTTCTCTGAAAGTTCCATCAGCCTCTGTCCACTCATGAATTGGCACAATTGCCCTTCAGACCCTTCGATGCTGAAACTTAGGTCAGAAAAAAACCCTATCTGCTTCTCAGTGCTTTTCATACTGATTTCATACGGATTTTGCCAACCTTCTCTTTGAGAATTTTAAATAACAGAAATGACATCTGCCTCTGAATTTGCTGGAAATGCAGAACACAGATTGCAAAGGAGATCTAAATGTATAGCTCATCAAGGAAAACAAATACTTTGGTTTAGGCGTTGGCTTCTACTTCCTAACCCACCAAGCCACCAACCTCTAGTGCTCCCTGGTGCCCCCTGGTGGAGATTCGAAGGGGAAAGGAAATGGCCTGAAGTTGGGTGCACAGGATCCTTTCTCTACTCTACATGAAGAGTGAAGGCCCAGAGAACACCTTCCCAGAGCCACACATGAAGCATGGCCATGCTGAGGCTTCCCAGGCACTTGCAACATACCCCACTGCTGACACCCCCTTTGCTTCTCCCCAGTGGAGCTCACAATTCTTAGCTGTCAGAGTTTCCTTCTACTCCTCACTCCATCTTTTTCATTCCTCAGCAGACATGTATGAGGTGTGCATATGTCGAGGCTGGGTGTTAGGGAGATTTCAGTGAAACATTAATGCCTCATTGCTTACTGCAAGGTGCTTCCAGGCTAGTCAAGGACGTTCTGCAGGATGAGGGGTGGGGAGATGTGACAATGAGGGCTCAGCAGCACAGAGGAGGCTTCCTCCTACTCAGAGGGGGACCAGAGCCTGGGGAGACAGGCAGGGAAAGTCCAGATGGTGGAAGGGGCTCCGGGGTAGAATGTGCACAGCACTGTTTAGGCCGTGGGAACCCATCCCCCTGCTACCCACAAGAAGACACCTCAGCCCTTGTAAGTGTTTGGATGGAGGGTACTGACAGGCACCTGTGGTCACTGCAGCCTGCAGGAGACCACTGGCTCTAAAGTCGCATTCATGTGGGTTTGTGTCCCAGCTCTAAGTTGGCCAGTTAACCTTGACAAGTTACTTAGTGTCTCTGAGCCTCACTTGAGAATTGGGCAGCTGGCACAGTCTTGGGCTCATAGAAGCGTGGTTTGCCTAACGAAGCAGAAACACACCAAGCCCTGTGCTAGGCACTGGGAGCAGGGCCAGATCCTGCTCCAGTGAGGAAAACATTCAACCAGGGGGATGGGGAGCAGCAAATAAATTTGGAATATGTCGGATGCTGGTTATATGACAACTATGAAGGAAAATAAAAGGAGGTGTGGGGGAGATTCTATTTACATATAGTCAGCAGTGTTCTTTCTAAGGAGTTTGCAGAGCTTGATATAAAGGCAGGGAGAGAGTGAGCCCTGGACATGTCCAGGGACCAGCATCCTTGGCAGAGGAAACAGCAGTGCAAAGGCCATGGGGTAGAAAAGGGTCTAGAATGGAGTGAAGGAAGGGGACGGCTGTCTGAGGGCCGACAAGGGGCCAGATGGTGTGGGGCCTTTCAGGTCAGGGCAAGGGCTTGGCTTTTGCTCTGATGGGAAGTCTCTGGAGGGTTCTGAGCAGAGGATGACAGACCTTAACAATGACCAGCTCCTTTAGTCACCAATTTCTCCCAGACAGTCATTTCACAGCAAATTATTCTTTTTTTTTTCCTACTTTATTGCAATTAGTCTTTTTCCCCGTCCCTTATTTAGGTTTTCTAGATTCCTGCTATGAGTGAGACCATCCAGTACTTTTTCTTTCTGGCTTATTTCACTGAGCATGATCCCTTCCAGCGCCATCCATGTTGCTGCAAATTGCATGTGTTTATCTTTTTTGAATGCTGAGTAATATTCCGTGGTGTATATGTACCACATCTTCTTGATCCAGTCATCTATTTTTGGGTATTTGGGTTGTTTCCATGGCTTAGCTATTGTAAATAGTGCTGCTACAAACATAGGGGTACAGGTGCCCTTTTGAGTTAGTTTCTGTATCCTTTGGGTAAATACCAAGGAATGGAGTTGCTGGATCATATGGAAGCTCTATGTTTAGTAGGTCCAGAAATCTCCACACAGCTCTCCATAATGGTTGGAACAGTTTGCACTCCCACCAACAGTGCAGGAGAGTTCCTTTTTCTCCACACCCTCGCCAGCATTTGTTGTTGCTAGTTTTTTTAATATGTGCCATTCTCACTGGTGTAAGATGGTATCTCATGGTAGTTTTGATTTGCATTTCCCTGATTACAAGTGATGTTGAACATTTTTTCATAGGCCTGTTGGCCATTTTCACAGCAAATTATTCTGAATGTCTCATAGACCTCGGAGGTGGGGTAACCCCTGATATCTCCCAGGAGGAGGGATACCTGAGCCTCACCCTGATAGAGTCAGGTAGCACCATGCATTCTTGCTCCTTGTAGAGGCCGTGTCACCAACATAACCCTATGTCCCCTGCAGAATTCCAGCTTCCCGTGACTGAACCTGACATCAACAACAGGCTGGAGTCTTTGTGCCTCAGTATGACCGAGCACGCCCTGGGAGGTGAGTCCCTCCACCCTGCATGCCCTGCGTACCTGGGGAAAGTAGCAGCCCTCTGTGGGGGGTGGGAAGGACATGAGGCGGGGTTAGCCAGGGGACAAGGAAGAGTGCTCTCGAGGTGCAGTTGGGCCTTCATCGAGCTATGACACCGTGAATGGCCCAAAGCGCCCTGTCCTCCTCCTCTCTGGGAGGTGAGTCAAGGACCTGCAGCCCAAGTGTCCCTCTGCTCCTGCCCAGTGCACACTGGAGTCCCCCCACAGCAGCTGTCCCAGGCCGAAGCCGGAAGCCGGAGGAGTCAGGAACACAAGACGTGGCTTTTAGTGGAACATCCCTCCCCACCCCCTGCAGCACTGGATTTTCTCCTTCTCGGCACTAGATCCCCCAGTCTGGTCCAAGCATATCCCAACTTGCTCTAAAAATAGAATTTTTGAAACAGAAATCCCTGCTTGTTTTTATATCTCCCTGTTCCAAATGGCTTCCACGCCTTGTGGAGCCCCGAGCAGTCTGAGGTGTCCTTTGCAATGTGACAGGGACATGTCTAGTCGGCCGCACCTGTGGAGTGTAGGCTTGCACCCCGTGAGGAGCTCCCCAAAGCTGCTGGGTCGTCCCGCCATCTGTTTGGTCTGAAGCCATGCGTGGTTACAGCAGCCCTCCCAGTACCAGACATCTTGCACCGGCCTGGACTCAACGCCAACCCTGGGGATGTTTGGCAAGCAGGGGAGAGATGTCTGCCCCTTCCTGCCAACCTCCAGAGAGGCTGTGTGTCACAGAGATCCACAGAGACCTTCTGTGACCCTTCCGGAGAGCCCTCCCTCTCCAGTCAGTCGCGCTCAGACACCCAGGAGATGGGCCACAGGCCGAGAGCCAGAATCCGTGCTCTCTGGCAGCAGCGGTGGGGAGGGAGGCTGCCATCAGCCATGGCTCCAGAGGGCTCAGTCCTTTTTGAACAGGGATTTTTAGATTTTTAGTCTCTGCAAACACAATCTTATCCTGAAACTGAATGAGACAAACAAGTTGTCTGCATGGAGCAGAGTAGACTGTGAGCACCTGACCTTGTTCATGTGAGGCTCTCCACAGCCCAGAGGAAGCCTCAGTACCAGGAGGGTGTGGGCTGCAGGCCACCCAGGACTGCACCTAACACAGTGGGAGTGCACAACTCCTCCTGGAACCTTGCTGGGGTTCCAAGGAACCCCATTTGCAAACCCTGTTCTCTCCCTTGGCCATTCAGATCCTAGAAGCTTTGTAGCCTCAAGTGTCCATCCACGTACCTCCATCGATGCATGCAATTGTATATACAGAATGTAGTACAGCTGTAGCATTGACTATCGCTTGGCCTTAGATGAGTGAAGTGCTGACACCTGCTGCAGCACGGAGGAACCTTGCCAGCACTACGCTAAGTGAAAGAAGCTGATCACAAAAGTATGATTCCATCAACATGAAATGCTCAGAACAGACAAATCTGTAGCCAGAGAGTAGATTAGTGGTTGCTAAGCCATTAGAGAGAGAGGTAGGTATGGAGTGACTGGAAATGGATACCAGATTTCTTTTGGGGGTGATAAAAAATATTCTAAAATTAGACAGTGATGATGGTTGTAAAACTCCTAACAAATTTTTTTTTTAAAAATCACTGAATTGTGTGCTTAAAAGGGCGGCATTTGTGTTAGGTGAATTATATCTGTGTTTTTTTTAAAGTGGTAGAAACAGGGCTTTCTTGGGGTCAGAGTTAGGACAGCAGCTGGTGATCAAGTCCCTAGATCTGGCCCCTGCCAGGGCTCTGACACCAGAGGGAGCCCCCAAACCCCTGTTCTCAGGCCAGGCTCAGCCCAATAGCCACTGACTGGGTGGCGGAGGCTTGCTGCCTTTGAAGAGTCAGCAAGGAAAACTGACCTCCCCCAGGGCTTGCTACAGCTAAGATAATTGGCATATTGGAAGCTCTTATCAAACTGCTAAATACAAACATTATCATCATTAGTGGCCAGAATGCTGAATGCTTTTTATTAAAGGAAGGTTTTCAGTGCAAAGACTTCATTTTTTCGCTCATTCTTCTATTTTTACAGAAATTCTCTACAAACTGGTGATTTTTGCTAATATTTTCATCTTGTTAATCTCCTAAGCCTTTTCATTGCTCTCTTTTTTCTCAATAATCCTCTCTGGTGGAAAGCCACGTAAGCAGTTTCCCGGGCAGAGAACGCAAACGAAGTTCATGGTGGGATGGCCCAGTTGGACAGTGGGGTACAGGGACAGCACCTCTCTGCTGGTCAACCCCTTTCAGTTGCCAGAGAAGATGACCTTGCTGGGGACAGAGTGCCAAAGAATTAAGACATTTTACAGGAGGCCAAGTGCTGGGCAGAGGAAATCAGAGTGAAAATACTCTGCTTGTGTCTCAAGAAAGGAGGCCAAGGTATTCTGCTCCCTGCTCTGTCTCTGGTGAGTCCTCTCACCCTCCCGCGTATCTGGCCTGTACCCGGTTCTTGTATAAAAATAAAATAAATAAATCTTTAAAAAAAAAAAAAGGAAAAGAAAGGAGGCCAAGGGCCCGAGAACCTAGGAAGCCACATTCTGGGAACTGGCATGTCGCCACTGGCCTTGGCCCCTTCCTTTTGTGCTGATCTCCTCACTGGCTGGCACTAAGTGAGTCTCTTTGACCTTCCCTTTCCATTTCCTTTCCCCTCCCCAGGCTCCTCTGATAGAACCTATGATGGGGGTTGGTTGCCCCTGGCATCTTGGTTTGTGAGCCTTTATTTAGGTTTTCATCTGACTTGCTGGGCTTGCTCCTGACTTGTGTCCCTGGGTATTCAGGAAGACTCGATGCCAAGTGTGGCCATTATCTTTCTCCTACAGAGGGTTATGGGGATAGAGATACCTACAAAAGTGGGCTCCTCCCAGCAAAATGGACTCCATAGTGAATTATATCAGACAAATGGATGCACAGTTGACTCATATTTGTCATTCACCTGTTCCCCTTGCCGTTCCTCCTCATCTTCCCTTTATACTCCTTGGGACTTATAGCCTACGTCTAGCACACATGAAGACTGTACAAATTAGAAAAAGGCTCTACTTTCTTAAGAGGCTGTTCTGCCATTTATTCAAAATTTGTGATAATAACTATGAAATCTATGATGATTTCATGTGAATGATGACCCCTGAAGTTGTGCAGCCCACAGCTTACACATTGGCAACTCAGGACTTACCTAATGGTCTTTCCCCTGCCTATTCTGTTGCCCTTGGAGGATACAGTGTGAGACTGAAATTCTGAGGGGTTGGGTTAGCTGAGATGTTCGTGTTTCCAGCCCTGAACTTCCACAACTATAAAGGGTTGGTATTAATGAAATGAAAAGGTGGGTGAGTCCAGGCAAGAGATTGCGCTGCTCTTCTAAACATACCCCACACACACACCGTCATGTCCACACAAGTGTACACACATACATGGCTACTGTTCTCCCACAACCAGTTACTACTTCAGAGTCACAACAGGAGGCTCAGGTTGAAACCTGCAGAAAGCAAGGAGAGGCTATCGATTATAAGTTCACATCTGTGGGCCTCTTTGACTGATGATCTGATAACCAGAAATTAATTAGGGAACAATTTGCTTCTCTTTAAAATCTCTCCAAATATTGTATAGAGATTTACACAAACACACACATACACACACACACACAATACAAGTACAACTGGGGAATTCTAAATAAGATGAGTAGATTGTATCAATGTTAGTAATTTGGCAGTAATATTAAACAGTTTTACAAAATGTTCCCTAAGGAAACTAGGCAAAACCAGAAACCCAGGACTATGTCTTTGAGCTGCATGTGAACCTATAGTGATCTCAATAAAAATTTCCATTAAAAAAACATTGCTGGCAAGATGCCAGCTTGGCATCCCCCATGGGGAAGATCAGAGACCCCTGCAGAGCCCTCAGCAATCCTCCCTACCACTTAGGTCCTCCAGCTTCCCCTGAAAGACTCTGCTGCCCCATACACCTAAGTTCTGCCTACTGAGTCTACATGCTCCATCTAGACCAGGTTTGTGACCCTGATGTTTACACTCATGTTTGGAAATCAAGGAAGCTAGGAAGGCATCCCACATCCCTGCCTGGCCTTCATTTAGTGTTGTCTGAAAAAGAGTCATTCCTGCCTCTATGAGAATTAATCCATTCCTTCTCAGCTCTACCATGGTCCATTGTAGGGGACCTCCTGCCACCAGCTTTGCCCAAGACACCATCCTTAAATCAGATCTATTTACTCTACTGCGTATAATTCCCCAGTTGGCACCCTCCAGCTCCTGTTCATAATATACAAGACCATATGTTTGATTCTGGGTGTAAGCCCCCTCTGCTGTCTGTCTCACTCATGGCCTCTGATCTCTGAATTGCATGTCCCCCAATTCTCTAACTCAGTTTCACTAACTCCATAATGTTGACAAGGCATTTCCTGAGTGCCCATGATTCTTGAGACAAAGAATGTGAATTACTCTGGGTCAGATGCACCCCCTGGTCTGCTCAGCTGTGGCCAGGGTCACAGTCACAGTCATGTTGTCCCTAGTCTTTCAGTTAAGACTCAGGGTGAGATGGAAATGCTCCCAAGAAAGGGATGTGAGCAAGATGGTTCCACCAGCATGTCTGTTACAGTTCCTGTCTGGCTCTTTGGCCACATCTCCTGCCACTCCTCTGTTACAACATCATAAACCTCTGGCCTGCCCTTGGCCCCACCATTCACTGTGCATCATGCCTGTACATAAGCTGCACGCCTTCCCCTCCACCATCCTTTCCTTCCTCACCCTGCCTTCTCCTACCAGCAGCATCTAAAAAAGTCAATTTCTATCTCTGTGAAACTGTCCTTGACTTCCAAGGACGACTGAAACCTTCCATCCTCCATGTTCCTGCTTTGTACATAGTGCATTAGAGCAACTATCACTAGTATATTGTGGGTTTACATGTCCGTGCGCTGACCAGGATGTGAGTACCCAGTGGGTGAGAAGTAGGTCTTCTATCCTGGTATCTAGGCTTAGTTTGATTTGTGGCAAAAATAGCTGTTTCTCAAATGTTGAGTCGGGTATGTGAACAAATGAATGAATAAATGAATTTCTCTCTTATCTGTCCTCAGAGACGGAGAGACCCATCATGCCCGAAGTTGACTTGGTGGGCATGAACGGGCTGTTTCTGCTCATGCACTGTGTACTTATGTCTCCCACAGACGGGGTTGACCGGACCTCCACAATTTAGAAGCTGAAGATGAGAGTGACCGCGCTGGCCGTGAAATCGACTGCTGCGGGTCCAGTGTCAGCCATCTTCAGGGTTGCACAGAATCCTCCAAGATACTTTGCAGCCTTTTTTTCCCTGGTCCCTCTCCCATTTTGATTTTGTGAGAGCGTAGGTCGTCCTTGTAAACATATCAGTAGACCTGGGATTGGTTATTTTGTCATTTGTTTCTGTCATTGGGATGGCTTGGTGTGTGGGTTGGGAAGGGGTTTCTAGGGAAAGTGGGACTAGGGGCTGGGTGGGAGGTGAAGGGAATGTCAGTGGCTTTCTGGATGGAAGGGGCGGGGGTGGCAGGAGGGAAGAGCACCACCATGAAAAAGATAAGAGAGACACAGGAGGGAAGCAGAAGCCGCAGCCCTGGGAGCCCTCTCCAAAAGCCTGCCCTCACAGCCAGGCCCCAGGAAAGGCATGGATACGAGCGACCAAAGCAAGATGGCGCCTCGCCCTTCCAGTCTCCCTGATTGGATTCCCCTGAGGCCCCTGCCTGAAATCCAGCCAAGGGGAAGGCCATGAGTCATGGCGACTGGGGCAAGAAGGGAGAAATTCCCTCCAACAAAATTTCAGATAAACTTTGATTTGTGTATTGTTTACATAACAATTTTAAAGGGTACATAATGTGTAAAGGGTTTGGGTAGAACTTCTCTTCATACTATGGTTTTTGTAAAGGATTTATTGATATGGATTCATTTTTTCCCTCTATTTTTATAACGGCAGCAGAATTGTCTTTTTAAATGACTGTCAAGTTCTGCTTTTCAGAAGGTGGTCGTGGTCACGTAGGCCTGGGTGACAGCCTGTCACCCAGAAGTGGGAGGGACGTGTAGGCTGATGAAAGCTCGAGGCTGAGGCAGGAAGGCACCGTGAGGATGACTTGACGTCCGGTGATGGATTTGCTCGCAGGTCCCTGATGGATTGTAAACAAATCCTGCAGTCCCTTTCTGTGCTGGATTTGCTTCTCACCCAAAGACCTCCCCTCCTCCCCACCCAGCCACGGGTTTTCAACCTATTGATCTCACCCTTACTCCTTGTTCAGGTGAGGTGGGTACAGGTTCCACTGGAGGAGAAGAGGCCAGGACTGACGTTTCCCCCTTGGAAGAGGCTTTCACGCACAGATAATAAGCTCCAGATGCTGTTTACAGAAGGGTTGTTCGCAAGAATATGAGCCTGAGGCTGTGTCTCCTTTGCGAGCTCGAGCTCGCTGCTGAGGAAGAGGAGAGCTGGATCCAGCCACGCTGTTTAAACAGCCAGCAAGTAACAGAGCCTCAGGGAGACCTGGTGCCTGGAAGGCCTGGCTCCACTGTCCATCTTTCTCAAATGAAAGATGCGAGAGAGGTCCCCCTAGTGACGAAAGCCAAAGTTCTGTCCACATGGTATGAGCCAGGGAGTTGCTGTATTGTTGGCTGATTTAACCATCCACATAGAAGGGAGCTAAAACCACTCATTACATGGTGAGATTAACAAGCTGTGCTACCAAATAATAGCTCCATTTCTTAAGGGCAAGAAAGACTGTGTCTCAGAATTTGGTGCAGTGGAGGATATTAGAGGAAATCAAAGAGGAGTTGTGCTCTGCACTGGAAAATTGGGTTGTGTAAATGATGGTATGAATGCTCAGCCAGAGGCGAAAAGGAGGAGATGGTATAAGGCCTGTTTATTAAATGGATGGTCTGGTGCCATTTCTTTTAACAAAATCAAAGTCAAAATTGAAGAGATCAGACCGTGAAAATGACTGTACTTGCTTACAGTTATTTTTTTTTTTTAAAAAAAAAAAGGTCTTAATAAAATCCATCAACTTTAATTTATTTTTAAAATTAAAAATGTGCACCTAACACAGCCTTGGATATTGTAACCAGGCTTCTTAAGTCTCTGAAATCTAAATAGATTGGAACATCTTAACCATAGAGAACCTTTAGCAAGCAAGGAAGGCTTGAACCACAGTATCATGCATTGCATAAGAAAGAGAGACCTCTCTTTGGGTGACAACGGTCTGAAGATGCAAATCTTTGTGCAGAAAGAGGAAATATTTTTGTTGTTTAATTTTTTAACCAAGTGCCATTAACATTCATCCTTCACACCCCTTTTCTACACAAGCTCAGTGATAGGGGGAATGTGTTAGGATCACATGTAAGGCAGGAAGACTAGGTCAAAAGTGTTGAAGGGCAAAGTTAAGACCAGAGGGTTTGTGAAGGTGTTTTGGGGATGCTAAAGAAGGTTAAAAGAGGAGAAAAGCGATGGTTATTAGCAGCTCGTGGAGAAAAGACAAAGCATTCAGATCTGCTGCAAAACAGATCCATAGAGACTCGGTTGTTCAGAAAACAGATTGTGAACACAATCACATTAGCATGAATCCTTTAAAAGGAAGACCTTAGAGTATTTGCAGATCTGAATTTCTATTTATTCCTTCACTGAATATAGAAACAGTGGTTATCTGATTATTAGAGATATTATTTTGGATATGTTACTTATTAACGCGCTATGGCTGGTAACCATGATAAAGTGTTATTAATAACAACATAACTCTTTTTTTAAAAAAAAAAAAAGGAAAAGCTTATTTTTCATTGACTGTGTATAGATTTATCTACTTAGTTGTGTTTTGCTATCAGTGTTTTTTTTCAGTTGTGTGTTCTGATAAATTCTAGGAGCCTGTCCCACCTTGTTTTGAGTCCTGTGTTGACTGCAGGTATACAGCTCAATTTAAAAATCCTAAAGCAAAAGAATTTTATTTATAAAAGAATCAAACAGTTGCATGCATAAGGCTGTGAAGTTGGATATTTAGTAATAAAGCGGCAGTGCCTTTTTTTGTATTTTCCCATTGACCCCTAAATGCAACTGTTTTATATAAATAGTAAACATAAAAATCTCAGAGTAAAATCTATTTCACTACATGTTTTTCTCCCCGTGTTCTGATTTAAGCAGTGTGTATTTGGCATCTCCACACTGTCCCAGGGACAGTGGTGTTCTACGATATTATCATGTATGATGTTTTATTGGTGCTTCTTACTCATAGTGGTTTCTTACAAGAAACAATAGGAAGACACACATGAACTGTGTACAAGAAATGAAACATTGCTGCTGATGTGTGCGTGTGTGTGTGTTTTTTTCACATGCTTTTGAATTTCGCTTTTTAAACAAGGGCCAGCAAGCAAAATAAAGAGGCTGCTGGGTCTTCCTGCAGAGGACGCTGTTTGCACCAAGCTCTAAAATCCTGTGTATTGATGGTCGATTTTTGGTGCCCAGGATTGGAGCTACAGCTGGGACCCCTCCCTCTCCCATTCATCTGAAGAGACACTGAGGAAAACGAAGTTTTCTTTTTCTTTTGAGGTGTCGTCGGCTGCCTTTAATGAAATGGGAGCCTTCTCTGGGTCTTTGGTTCTTCTGCACCTCTTGAGGCTACTGCCGGTGCAAGGTTGGCAGATGTGCATTCTCTGGCTAAATCAGCATCTCTCCAAGAGCCGGGGCTGGGAGACTGATCTGGGCTGAATGCATAGGTATGCAACCAGAAGGGCAGCGAGGGGAAGAAAAACAGGCCCAGTCTCTGGCCCTTGGGAGAAGTCTGCGAGCAGGCATCTCCTACTCGGGTGCAGGGAAGCAGCCTGACCAAGTGCTCGGTGTGCCTGTTACAAACAGGGCCTGCGGGAGGATAATTTGCACATGGGGCTGTGATAACACTAACGTTGATTTTTTTTTTTACAAGTCATCAGAGATGTTTGCAAAGTGAGTTTTATTTTTTTGTAATTCCTTTATCTTTACTTAAAGGTGAATGTGTATTCCTCTGGGAGGAATAGGAAGAAAACAGGAATGTTAATAATGTCAAACAGAAGACTTCCTCCCTTATTAATATATAACCCTCATGTATTTATGCCTAATGTAAGCCGACTTTTAAAAAGCTTTCTTTTGTTGCATGCCCCGTGCAGGCATCCCTATTGTACATGCATGCCTTTTGTCCTGTTTTCCTGTATAAAGTTAGTGAACAAAGAACTATTTTTGCCTAGTTCATGTTGCCAAGCAATGCATATTTTTAAAATTTGTCATATATGGAAATAGCATGTTTGTTACATGTAAAAGCTTTACTGATATACAGATACACTAATGTTTGAAGATGCTGTTCTTTGCCAGTGTACAGTTTTCAAATGTTGTTACCAGTGAAACACCCTTGTGGTTTAAACTTGCTACAATGTATTTATTACTCATTTCCTCCCATGTAACTAAGAATCATGGCTATATTTCATATCAACGTTATATTGAAAGTGAAGGGAAATGATTAATACAAGGTTTTGTAACACTGGTGTGTGTCTTTTCTTTTTGTCAATATGATCAATTAGAAAACAAGAACTGAATTTTACAAATAAGTCAGCAAGGGAGAATGGGCATGACATTCCTGTAAACTATTCCCACCTGACCCTTCTATGCAAATTGTTTCTTTCTTTCTAGCAAAAAGATAGTGAGAAAGGTGTAGAAATTTATGTGGTTTGTTCTGTGCCTAGAGTAGCTAATAAATGCATCCCCTAATTTAGGGGCATGTTTCTAAATACACCCCCTCACCCCCGGCTGATACGCTTATAGCTTGCTCTCTGCTCTCAGTGCCTTTGAAATCATCACCCCATAACTGCATAAAGAAACAGAAGCCTCCTAGGAGACTTGGGCCTTAAACTACACATGGCTTGAATCTCCCTCTTATACTTTTTATAAAATGTGGTCATGTAAATCCTAAATGTCCCTCAAACATATGACTGGAGAGACTAACCTGGATTTGAATTCTGGCTCCAGCATTCTCTGTGTGATGTTGGGCAAGTTTCTTAACTTCTCTGAGTCTTGTGTTTGGTTTATTTTGGGCTATGATGTTCAAGATTTGTGTGATTAACTTCTAATACTCCCCCCTCATAAAAAGGTAAAGACAAAGCATAAGGTATAATGATTTTGATACCAAAACCTAGCAAACCAAGATTTCTCTGAGACAACCACGACTTGACATTTTGACAATAAGCACAAGATGATTCCTTTCCCACAAGGCTCCAGCCGCTCACGAGACATGCAAAAATACAAAATGGTCCCTGGAAACATGAAGAAGTGCCTTGCAAGCTGAGATATTAGATGAAATTCCTCCTAAAGTTAAATTCTCTCAATGTACTAGCTCTCAGAGTAGTTCTCAGGA